TGCCTCGGGCTTCCTGTAGTCAGCCGCTGGTCAGTTTCAGCAGTGGCTGAATCTGGACGCCAGGTCCGACTTAAATACAGATTCAACTTAAGAACAAACCTACAGTCCCTATCTTGTACGTAACCCAGGGACTGCCTGTATATGCAACGTCAGTTAAATTGCGGCCCTTGGTATGTGCTGTAAATATCATTGTGGCCCCCGGGGCTTCCAAAGTTGAGTAGCCCTGCCTTACAACAATAAAAAGAAAGTACTATTAGAACACACAAAACTGAAATTTCAGTAGTTAGACAAATGTCAATTAAATTACTTAATTAAAAGGTACAGTGCAATTGAGTGTCATCAGGAGAATATTAAATTGCATCATATAGCCTGAAGGTAAATTAAGCCTACAAAGAACAAATAGATTTAGTCAGATCTTGATATTGCAACTGGGCAAATGTAACACGCTATGAAATGTTATGATGAAAGCATAAAACAGGCCAAGTTTTAAATGTACGCTGAAGGGCCAAGAGATTCCATTCAGAATTGTAACCCAGGAATTCCAGAAAGATCACTCAAAAACGTTTTTATCCTCCTGGCCTTCTGGAATTTCTTTACATTAGTTTAAAAAAATAAGCAGCAGGAGTCCCTCAACAGGGTCCAACTGATGCTGAATTAAAGTTCTAACTTCATTTTAAAAAAATCTACAATGTTCAGAGCAGAGTTTACAAAGAGAAATTTGAGCATCTACAAGACATGCTGTCTGCTGAATTCATTTAAAAAAAGAGACAATTGCTGAACACTAAGAAATCAACACCTTAACTCTGCATTCTGATCTTCAATTAACTTCACTGTCTATCGACACAGCTCAAAACTACAAGACCAGGGTGCATATGTGTATGAAAGAGAAAATTGATATTCTTGATGATATTCTGGGATTAATGTGCATGACTCCCAGTAGCAATTACCGGGCATATACTGTGCTGAAGGAAGTCCAGATTACCAGAGCAAAATTACAATGTGTACAAATACATGGTCCCACACTAAATTGACCTTTACTTTTTTAAACAAAATGTAGACTAGATGACCATGATGGTCCCTTCTGAGTTTAAAATCTATTAATCTCATCTAGCAATTGTGTTTAGATGACAGATTTTAAATTACTCTTCTCTACAGTGGAATAAGTTAAGAGATAATAGAGTACAGTATGCAGTCAGTCATCACTATTCTCCAATGATGATGCAATCTTGATGTTTGATTGCACTTATTATTTTAAACAACACTTGGTTAGTTTAAACAACATTTGATTATATCAACATAGCCACTTACCCTCTTTCTAATTTTGGAAGTTAAATTTTCAACAGATGCTTCAAAATGTTCAGCTCTTTGTTTCTGAGCTCTGGTTGCTTTTTTCAAAGCTTTCTTCCTTTGCTCATTTGTTTCCTTAACAGCTAAAATTTGGTGTTTGTTTTCACCAATTTGAAGCTTCCACTCAATAATTTTCTTTTCCAGAGTCTGCAGCATAATTAAGCAAAAATGAATGATATACTTTGAACGTTACAGTGTAGATTTTTAGTTGCAGTAACTTGACCATGTAGGGCAGAAAGATTTCCACTACGCCAGCATTAAACTTCCTGTCTCTCAAATACACATACTAGGTTGAGAGTAGAAGCTGTGCACCCAATATTTTTACTCACTTACTGAGAAATGGTAAGAGAGGCAAAGAGGGGGAGAGGATGCATAAGTTAGAAAGCATGGAAGGAGCCACATAGTTGGGAAAAGCCATGGATACTGGTGAAGAGCAGAAGGGGAAGGAAATAGGAGTAAGATGGTGACAGGGAAAGACTTTGGTCACAGGGACAAAAGAGTCTACAACTACTAGACAATCCTTTCCCCTTAGAACCTAGAATAGAACGCAACAGTCCTAAATGACTAAATTCTTCTGTTGTCAGCAAATCATTATGAAGACCACTTAAAAAGTATATAGAATCATAGAATAATAGGACTGGAAGGGACCTCGAGAGGTCATCGAGTCCAGCCCCCCGCCCTCAAGGCAGGATCAAGCTCTGTCTACACCATCCCTGACAGATGTCTATCTAACCTGTTCTTAAATATCTCCAGAGAGGGAGATTCCACCACCTCCCTTGGCAATTTATTCCAATATTTGACCACCCTGACAGTTAGGAATTTTTTCCTAATGTTCAATCTAAACCTCCCCTGCTGCACTTTAAGCCCATTACTCCTTGTCCTGTCCTCAGAAACCAAGAGGAACAAATTTTCTCCTTCCTCATCAGCAATTGGGGAGAGTCCCAGTGCCAGCTACGCTCAAGGCACAAGAATTATGTTAACTACGGGCGGATATCAAGATACATGACAAAAAGGGAAGCACTCTGCGGTATGCCTACTCAAGGTACTGCCCAGGGGTACCAAAGGTGATGGAGAGCTCAGGTCCCCACAGATGCTCCAACAAGCAGCCTAAGCCCTGCCCCGGGGGGTTTCCATGCTGGTGTTGTGCCAGTGTCTTGTGGGTTCTACAAAGAGCAGGATACAATATGTGGGAACAACCTCATCTCCAGCCCAAAAACCCACAGGGATACTTTGGAGGAAATCATGGGGCCCACAGCCAGTGGATTGTTCTGCTTCCACAGATGCATGTAGTCAGGAGTTCTCTTCTACCCTGCAGGAGGCAAGTGGGTCACAGCAGTTGGAGGTTGGGGAAGCACAAACAGCAGAGGATGCCCCTGATTAGTAGTATTGATTTGTTAGTGCTGAAGGGAGTGTTGGGAGCAGGAGGGTTGCAGAAAGGGTCTGTGCAGTGCTATTACCAATACATGACGGGTGCATCTAGACTGGCAAGATTTTGCGCAAAAGCAGCCACTTCTGCACAAAAACTTGCCAACTGTCTATACTGGCCACTTGAATTTGCGCAAGAGCACTGATTTTGTAATGTACAAAATAGTGCCTCTTGCGCAAATACTTTCATGCTCCCGCTCAGGGATCAGCCCTCTTGCGCAAGAATACTTACGCAAGAGGGCCAGTGTAAACAGGCACCTTAATTTTTTGCACAAGAAAGCCCGATGGCTAAAATGGCCGTGGGAGCTTTCTTGTGCGAAAGCATCCGTGCCAATCTAGACGCTCTTTTGCAGAAATACTTTTAACAGAAAAACTTTTCCATTAAAAGTATTTCCGCAAAATCATGCCAGTCTAGACATAGCCGACTAGTTAGAGACAGAACAGGGTGGTGACAGATTCTCTCACTTCACAGGCATTGGCCTCACAGATCTTACCAAAAGTCTCATGCTGATAATGGGAAATCCACTTCCACACTTTTCTTGGCAAAGCTAAGTGTCCCATTAAGGCTACATCTACCCTGGCCAGAGCTTCATGAAGACAACCCTGATGACCAGCAGCTCCAGGATGAAGAGGACGACGACCCCGGGCTTGGTGTGACCCTCACCCTGGAACCGGTCCCCCAGACTCAGGACGCCTCCCAGGCATCTTCAGACCCCGAGGAGGGAACATCAGGTGAGTGCTGTGGGATTGCCACACACACAGCGTGCGGGAGATGGGAGCACAAGGGATGGGGGCACGATTTTCATGCGTGATGCTGGGCCTGGACAGCATCCAGCTGTCTATGCACGTGTAAGCACATGCAGTCCCGGGGCACGTCTCTTCCCGGGGCACACACAAGCTGCTGCTCATAGCCTGGGGACGGCCCCACACATGTCCAACAACAGGGAGGGCTGTCCTCCCCCTGCCAGGAAGCAGGCTGGGCACAAGCATGCACACACGACCCCACCCAGACCAATGAGTGTTGCACATAGCACTTGGCCACGTGTGTACATGCGAGGCAACAACTGCTCCTGCAGACAGTGTTGCCACATGCACGTGTGGGGTGGGGTGGGGTGAGAGCCTGGGAGAACTCCAGGCCCCTCTCCAATATCTGGGAACCCATTGTGGCTGGACACTTCCCTAGGCTGCTTGGCTATGGGGGGGCGGAGGCAGGATGGTACCCTGGGCACCAAGGGGCCCCTGTGATGCTGGGGCTGCTGGCCAGGCCACACGTGGACTTGCTGTCAGAACATCAGAATCCCCTGTTCCAAGGACAGTAACTCACTGCTCACAAGCAGGGACAGCGTGTGCATGCATGACTGACCACTTCTGCCTCTTGTCCTCCACAGCTGGACCATCCGTCCCTGATGGTCAAGCGACATCTGTCCCACCACCCAGCTGGGTCCATGGAAGCCACAGGCACTGGTGCATGTATCAAGACCTCACCCGCCAGCACATTAGGGTCCTCCAAAGACTGCAGGAGACCATAGCTGAGAGGATGCGGGCAAAGGCTGTGTGGCAAGACCACTTGCTGGACGAGCTCGTCCAGCAGCGCACAACAATATGTTCCACAATGAGGGAGATCATGGCCTTCCCAGGTCCTGTCCCCCTTGCTGCTGCTCCTGCTCCCCTTGCATCCTCCCCCCCCCCCAATCTCTCCCTTGCTCCCTCATCCCCTGCTATCCTAGATCCAGCTGCAGCACCGCCCCCCTTACCCTGCCCTCTACTGTCCCAGGCCCCACCCAACTCCTATTCCATCAAGGTCCCTGGACCAGAGAGAGCAGGAGCTTGTGGTCCATGCAACACCCTCAGCCCTGAGCCTCCCTTCGCTGTCCAGGTTTAGAGCTCCTTTCACCCCCAATTACAGAAATGTTTTTAAATTTAAGATGAAGTTTATTTTTGAAACCAGCATTGTGCTTTTGTTATTTACATTGCTTGTTATTTAATACTAAGTTTATTTTTCAAACAAAACTTGGTATCTGTCTTTAATGTCCGGAAAGTGGGGCAGGGATGGGTTGTGGAGGGAAAAGTATTGGGGGGCCAGGCCCAAGCCCCCATTGGGGAGGCACCGGGGAGAATCATTGGGTTCCTTCTGAAAATCTCTCTTTTGGGCCTCCTGGATGCTCATTGCAGCCTGGTGGGCGGCAGCTGCTTGAACTGCCTCCCCTCTCCACCAGCCCATTACCCACCCTGGGAGAAAGGCTTCCCCTTTCCTCTCTACCAGGCTGTGAAGCACACAACATATGGCCACCACCTTGGGGATGTTTCATTACCCGCACGTGGAGGTGAGTGAGCAGGCACCTGAACCTCCCCTTTAGAGGCCTGAAGGCACATTCAACCTGCAAGTGAGTCCCATTCAAGTGCACATTAAATTGTTCCCTGCTTGTGGCCAGTGTAGGACTTCATAAGCCATGGCATCAGGGGGGTAGGCTGCCTCAGCCATGATAGATTACAGTGGACGAGAAGCTGGATATGGGTCAACAGTGTGAGCATGTAGCCAAGAAGGCTAATGTCATATTAGGTTGCAGCTCTTCATTGACCACTTGTTCTGAAATTTAATGTTTGGCTCTGATTTGAAAAGGTTGCCAGCCCCTGCACTAGAAAAATATGGGAGAGACAAGGCAAGATAGAGTATATTGGAAACCAGGATAGTAGTTTTTAAACAGGATTCTCATATGGTCCAAAAGCCACTGATATTGGACAAAATAACTGATTTGCTTTATGCTGAGTAATGTTAAACCAGTTTAAACTGGTAGTAGATGGAACTGCTAGCAAAATTGGAGCAAGTTCAGCAGAGATTGAGTTTATTCCCTTATCTGATTTTGAGACGAGGTAGACAAAATCACCCCCTTACTTGCAACATCTTCATTGGTGTTGGTGGTAAAGCAGCTAGCTCAGCTAATTCGTCAAGGTTGAATGAGGGTGTTTGAGTGGGAAACTGCAAGTGTACTGTAAATCTGAGTTGACAACCTGTTAATACTGAAATCCCACAGATTTAATGTGAATAGGTGCTAGAGTTTATAGAAAAGTTAAAATGGGGTGAGATTTAAAATAAATACACAGATGTAGGAAGTACTCCCACTCAGCAGGTCCTGAGCAAGCAAAGTTGAAGGAGGATTTAACTTAGTGAATTTAGAATTTTAGTCTTATGATCATTCAGTTGGCCTGAAGCACTTACATGGTTTTTATTTGTGTGTGTGCTTGAAGGGGACATGGACAGACATTTTTCTTATTATTTCCTCATCCATTTGGGATGGCAAAGAAACTGGTCATTTTAAAAACAAGTATTTTAGCAAATCAAATAGTTGTATGGGATATTCACTAATGATTTCCCTTTAAAATCACATCTGGATTTTACCTAGAGCTAGTTTGAGAGGCATGGGAAGAAATCTTGACTTCATATTCCTCAATTTCTACAGATAGTTTAAAAATCACTATATGATTGTTTAAAAGTCACAATAGTTGTCCTCTTGCCCTCTTTAAAATGGGAATATCATCTCCTTCAAGTACTGAAACGGACTCATGTGTCCCAAGCTATTAGTAGATCAAGGTTGAAAAATTCCTGGTTTCCAGTCCTATGTATTGGGGAATGCTGTTAGTTCTCCTATCAGTTGATACATTACTGCAGAACAGTCTAGTCTCTTCCTCTTGTTGAAAGCAAGCTATATCAACTGTCTGGAAGGAACACAAGCTCTCAAGACAATGAGAATTTATAGATGCATTTCCTATGCTCTTTGTGCAGTGACTTTTTGGATTATAAAGACATGTTATTGAAATTTTGGAACAGCAGTTGGTGAATCAGTGACAATTCCTTAGCTCTTTCATTTATTAATTGCTATCAGCCATGCAGATACTTTCTTCAAAGATAAAAGTAGTGGTTAAATAGGACATCAGGCTAAAATTCTGCTCATCCCACTTAGAGGACCTACTCCTACAGCCAAATTCATGTAGTTGCTCAAATAAAAAGGTGCAGAAGAGTCTTGGGATTTCTTAAAATATTTTTTATATAAACCCAAATTAAACACCTAAAACAGTGTGCTTATCAGGAAACAGAACTATGTAGCACTTTAGTCTTTAAAGTGCTACATAGTCCTGTTTTTTGTTTCAGCTACACCAGACTAACACGGCTACATTTCTATCACTATTATCAGGAGGTTGCCATTTATTTGTTTTGTTTGTTTTGGTTTATTTTCCCAAATAGGTTTTGAAATTTCATCACACAAGACTTATTCAGCATATTGTCCTAAGGGTTGAAGATTTGAGTACAATGTACAAGATAATCTGTATGATTATTCTCTCAGAAGCTGCTCTGTTGTGGATGGAAATGAACTGGCCTATGTAAGCACGGACTATGGTAATAACCACCAATATAAAACTATGGCTGGAAAGGGTACAGACATTAGAATTTTGGCAAAAAACAATGTTTGAATCACCCTAGTGGTATGAACTTTTTTAGGGGTAACTCAGTTACCTAGACAGGGAACATAGCATCTCAAGATTTGAGCTTTCCTATCTTGGAAAGCATGGGAATTACATTCATTGATGCGTAATGGCAAAGTCTCAGACAAATGGGATTTGAGCTACATCATGTTTCACATAACCTGGTCCATGTCATAAGTTAGTATGGACTCTACATGGGATGGAGATGGAGCACATCAAACAAAAGTGATTTCATACTTATTGGAATACTAAATGTCAATATAGTTGCACCTTGGACAAAGTGGGGAGACAGTACCTTTGACTTGCTATTCACTACATGGGCCAATGGCCTTCTTTTTAGATGTGCTGAGTGCCTGCAGCTTTCATGAACTTCAAATGGACTTGTTTGTCATGTGGGAGAGGGAGAATCAGGGCCCAGTGCATTTTACAAGAAATAGAAAAATGCATTCTTTAACTGTAGAGTCCCAACATGATTAATGGCTCATAGATCAACTTATTAGCCTGGCTGTGTGCTTCCTCCTCCAGTCCCTCTCCCTCCCAAACACCACCTGCCAGCCATGATTTGATAGCTGCTAAATGTCTTTCCTCCAAACAACTGCTCTACTAGACTTCTCCCTCTACTGTGTAAATGGCTCTTCTCTTACTATTGCTGGTTACCTGCCTACTGTATTTCCTCTTCGGCTCTCCCAATCTGCCCCTTGTTTAAGGAGCTCCTCTTACATCTACCACTAGTCACAGGGCTCCTGCCATCAGAACTGCTCATGTAACTAGGAAAATGCCTTTAAACATTTTTTGGAGAAAAAGCACTTAACTCAAGAATGAAAAAGGTTAAACACAGATATTTGCCTCTCTGATCCATCCTGTTTTAAATCTAGATTCTAGAAGCATGTGTACTGCCATTCCAACTGGTTTAAGTGGGCCAACAGTGTCACCTAGTGGTATGAAATCACATTATGAAGAATTCAATTCCAAGAGACTATACCAGTATCAACAACTCATCTGAATAAAAGTCATCTTGTGTATTGCCTTACTGCAGTCAAAATAAAGACATGAATTAGACTTCAGCCTTAGAGTTCAAAGTTAATGACAAAGCTTTATTGAATACAAATGTTTCATACGTAGCAAGACTGGAATGAAGTAGAATATTTTACATCTCTAAAATAGTTAAGACAATTCTCAAATTGTATAGTACAGAGAAAGAACTATTGTAGGAATAAACCATACCTCCCCTTCCAAATTACTTGTAAAATCAATCCAGTCAAGTTTTTTAAAAAGTACTAAAATGTAGCAAATGGGCATAGCCTTCATGGGGAGCCCCTAGCCAGAAGTCTAAGACAGCCCCTCTTGGCCACACTGTTAAATATTTTTTTTTTTGCTAGAATCCAGTTCCAGGAAAGAACCCCACTGATTCTCAGACTTTGTATGTGTAAGTATCACATTGTAGCTATTAAAAAAAAAGGTCTCTGGCAGTTTGGAACAAGTAGGGTTTAATAACTGTTAAAAGGCCTTACAGATGTTATTTGCAGTTTTAAGTGAATCAGAAGTGAAAGAAAAGTAAAGCAGGAAAAAAAATCACCTAAAAATGCACATGGAATATAAAACTAATGCCCTGCAGACTCCGTGAAAGGGATGGCTTGTCTTCAAGAGTACCAGCAATGGGATCTGTACTGCTGCTATTCCAGTAAGGGATATGCTGGTGCATTAGTCAGCTAGAGGGCTGTACTACCTATTAATTCCAGTTTAGAATTAGTCTCTCTTGTACACAGGAGAGCAGAGTGCAAAGTAGGAAGTTTTTCCACTGATCAAGAGCAAGCAAATCAAAAAATAATCTCATTGCATCTTTGTACTTAAGATATTTTAGTTGCAAAACACTAAGCACAAAGAAAATTAGTGTTTTCATGAGGAAAACATCCCAGCTGTGCCCTTTACATGTATTAAAGTGCATTCAGTCACAATTTTTAAAGCAGGCCCACAAATCCCTTTGGAATTGGTCCCCAAGCACTACAGTCGTATTCATAGTGGTAATAGTGTATTATAGAAAGTGTTTAATTCCACTGTGGAGCACAGTGGAATCCTGCAAACTACTGTTACTGGAATAAGTGCCAAAGCACAAACAAAGAAATACAACAGTGACTAGAGTACAGAATAGATCAGTGTTCTCATGCTGTGAGTTTTGATTACTTGATTTAGGAACAACTCTCTCACACCAAGGAATCAAACATTTCCATACAGCTAGATATGATTTTTGCAGGTTTCTACGGTACTTTTCTCCTTCAACTGTATATTCTGTTTTCTAATGTATGAACACATAGTATAGCATCACTTTCACAGAGGGCAGATGCTTGTTAAAAGCTAACACACACCAGTTTAAGGCCCAGCACCTTGCAGAAAGTTTTCTAGTGAAAGACCAATTTATTCTTCATCCTCTTCTTCATAGTAACGATTCCTCTTGATCTGTTCTTCCACAGATAGATCTTCCACATCTTCACCTTCCCGGAACCCATCATCTCTGGATTTGCTATTCTGATTAACGGGTAATTCCTCACCAGTAACCACATTCGATACACTGAGACGTTTAGGAGAGTTGGAGTAAAATATTTCTTCATCTGGAGATGGCTGCTGTGCTGTGGCATTTTCTTCCTCATCTGTCTCCATACCATTCTGTACCATGTTCTCTTCCCTGTATGCCTTGATATCAGGTACTTCACTTTGTCTTTCTTCTTCCTCCCGTTCTTTGTTCTTTTCTTCAGTGTTAAGGATGTTACCATTCTCAGCTTTTTTTTCCTTTTGCTTTCTTTCCATCGTTGCTTCACGGTCTAGTTCTTCACTTGTTTTTACCATAACCCTGTCTGCTTTGGAAAGAGAAGGCACATTCTCTGTTCTACGGCCTTTAACAGACATTGTTCTAAATGAGGCCGCTACTGTAAATGGACGGCTTCTTTCTTTCAGTGAGGATGTTCTTCGTAGCTTTTTAAGATCTAGGTCTACATCCTCCTGCACATCTGGTTTGGACACCTCATCTTCTGGGGGCCACTTCGGCTTAAATACTTTGATACCTTCTTCCAAAGCACTTCCTGAACTACCTAGCTCTGATGGAGGTGGCCAGGCAATTCTCAGTTTCTTCGTTTCTGCTGGTTTCTCTTCCCTTTCAGGCAAAGATGCCACTTTTGCTTCCATGCTAGCCGCCAGAACTCCCACTTTTGCAATTGGGGCATCCTCTACTCCTGGACTTTGAGGGCCTTCTGTTGTATTTACAGTGTCGCCAGATTTCTCCAAGGATTCTTCGTTCTCAGTTTTGGTTACCCATAGTTCCTTGTGTTGTTTGTGCCCAAAACCTTCATCATAGTTGCCTTTGGCTTTGAAGAGCTGATTGAAGTGAGGTTTGCAATAAATGTTTCCATGCAGAGATGCATATGTTACAAGACTGTTCAAGAAAACAGAATGTTAGCACTTTGCATGTCTCAGTCACTGATTTAAGGCCCTAATTTTAGCAAGATCACTGAAAAACTTGGCATTAAATCTCCCCAAAAGATTTTAGAAAAAAGCTTTACAGTACTTTGACTGGTGCCACCACAGGCAAGGTGCTACCCAATATAAAAAGGCATTTCTACAGGTTTTCCTCTGAAGTGATCAAACATCTTTGTAACAAATAGGTATTAGCTCCATTTTACAGACAGAAAAACAAGGATGGAGAATTCAAATGACATGTCCAAAGTAATTCAGAAGGTTACTCTGAGCTGAGCTGGGAGGAGAAACTGACTCTGAGGTCCTCAATCAACTAGACTACAGCTGCCTTCATCTCAAGAGGAATATTTACACAGGACTGTATTCAGCTTCCTATAATGCTTTAGGAAGGCTGACTTTCCTTTGAAAGGACTGCCACACACTCAATACACTACTCTCTGCACGGATTACCTGAGTTTGCTGTTACAATGGGAACAGCGGAAGCAGCTGATATGAAACACCTGCTGATTGGCAAAGAGGCGTTCCATTGGGTACACTGTCTTCTGACATGCAACACAGGTTTCCTTTGCTGGCAACTGAAACTTCTAAGGGAAGAAAAGAGGCCTTGTTAACTGGATAAGAACTAGTTAATGAGAAGACTTGACTTGGGTTTTCTCCAAGACTTCTAGTGTTCTCAGAAACAACTTAATATTTCATGCTTGACAGCTCTGATGTTAGTTCCCTGAGTGCCCTGCCCGCACCCTACTTGAGTAAAGCAGATCTATTACACAGGTCCTTTGCTTTGATGTGATAGCAAGAGCCTACTGTGCATTCTCCCTCTCTGATACCATATCACAACCTCTAAGGTAAAACAAAAGCCAAGAATTGACAGTGGAAGTTAACCCAGATGTTGATAGACTAGTAACTGTGTGTAGTCCATAAGAGGCAGCATCCTACGAGATAAGAAATGTTGCAAGGATAAATTTAACACGAGTGAGTATTACATGTTAGCACTGTGCTACTTAGGAATAACCTCAGAATGCATCTCCCTGACAGCATCAAGGACGTCATATTCTATGTCCACCACAGACGCTCCTCCCTCCTCAACACACCAACTCGAGTTGACTTAATATGGGAGGGTTAATAAAAAGGAAATGGCATGCTGAATATCCAAACGAAGCTGGCCCTTCTGGACTAACCTTATTGCAACAGCTTTTCTAGCAATAAGGCAGAAAGTTGCCTAGTACAGAGGTTCTCAAATTGTGGTCTACAAGCAGCTCCCTCTAAGGTGTAGGGATGTTAAATATCGGTTAATTGAATAGTCAAGTAACCTCATGAATTCTTATTGGTTAGTCGACTATTCTATAGCCCGAGAGTGGGGCTGGAAGCGAGTGCGCTCCGGCCTCACTCCTGAGAAGACCCCTGCCACTCTGCACTGCTGCCATTATATCACAGACAGCAGTGCAGGGTGCCAGGCGGGAGCTGATTCGCGAGGGGAGCTAGTTTAAAAACCAGCTCCCCTTGTGGACCGGCTGCCTGTTGCACTGTGGTGCTGCCTCTGATACAGCGGCATTGGCACAGGGTGGCAGCAGCCCCTGTCTAGGGGGTGGTCTGAGCTCGTGGACCCAGCATGAGCTGGAACTGAGCTAGGCTGCCTGCCCGCCCGCCCGGCTCCTAATACACTTTAAATGCAGAGCTGCAGCAGGGGTAGGTCTCAGACCCATTGCAAGCCAGGTTGTTGGCCAGCCTGCTAAAAAATTTACTGGCAAGTGGGGGGGGAGGCGGAACGGAATGCATGTAGTCTATAGCATTAACCTATAAGTTGATGCTTATCGGTTTATCGACTACACTTTTACATCCCTACTATATCGGTTTATCGACTACACTTTTACATCCCTACTAAGGTGCGCACCTGGGAAGCCGCACGTAAAAGAACACAGGGCTGCCCACGTAATTAGTGGCTCTCAGGCATGGCTCCATGCTGGACCCTCATACGTAACGTGAGATCGCGATTTTGGGGAGCAAGGGGGCAGTGAAGAGGGGGTGAAGGGAATTTGGGATGCGCAGGACTGCAGCATTCAGAGAAAAAGAGAGGCAACTTTTCCCAGCTCCAGAGTTGCAGCTGTCAGGGAGAGACAGCCCTCTTCCCCAGCCTCAGTTCTGTGGTTATGCTGGCAGGGAGAGACTCCCATTGATATTAAAATGTGAGTTGTGTGCTTTTAGTTGTAGAACAAAGCAGCATTAAATTATTAAGGAGTTTTTTATATAGAACTTTTATGCAAACTGCTTTATAATACTTTGCTAACAGTGAATTTGGAAAAAATCATTAAGTGGTCTGCTGACACCCTCAGAAATTTTCAAGTGATCCATGGGGGAAAAGAGACATTTGAGAACCACTGACTGAGGGCCTGTGTCAAAGGCTACAGAAAATCCCACATAGATACTGTCAGCTTTGTTCATGGCATGTTCTACTACAAATTTACTAAAAGCCTTTAAGATAGGGCTGGGCAAGATGTGACCCAGGGGCTGGATCTGGCCCACCTAACACTTGGATCCCACTCACAGACTATATCTGGCTGCTTTTTATTTATATCCTGCTGCCTGTGCCACTGAATTTCCAGGTGGGGGCTCAGACAGCAGGATCCTATTTAAATGGCTCATAGCTCAGGCTCTATCTTGGAAGGGGCCAGAGCTGTGAGCTTTCTAAGTAGTTGCAGCAATCCCAGCTACCAGACAACACGATAGAAGCAGGGCTAGGAGCCATGAGCCCTTTTGTGTTGAAGTAATAGCCTCTAGTCCCGGACAACTCTAGGGGGGAGGTTAGTTCCCAGTCCCCCGCCCCCCTTCTTCCTCAGACCTAGGGGGGTTGGAACCAGTCCATGACCACGTAGCAAAATTCTGTAAGTGGCAACCGCTGCAAAAATTATTTCCCACCTCTGCTTTAAGAGAAGGATATGACATTTAAGAGCTATGGAAGCAGGAACAGCATCACCACAGGGGACAATTATATAGGTTGGTGTCTAGTTAGTATTATAAATAAAATGACATGGTTAAAAATGGAAGGTTATGGTAGAGGAGGGTCAGGTTGCTGAAGAGAGCCGACTTCATCTAGATTGTCACAACTTTACTCTTACATATGATATCTAGCAAATGGCCTAATGAATTTCTAGTGTAACATGCACTTAGATTGCAGAGAGATGAAAACTTTAAACGTTGGTATTAGGTATTAGAAATGACACTAAAGGGCCTAATCCTTTCAGAAAGCCTGACAGAAGCTTCAGAACTCCCAGAGACTCAAGTGATTTTTTTTTTTTAAAAGGGGAACTTCAAGGCACTGACTCTGTGCACGAATTCTCATCTCTGTGCAAGTGAGTCAGTGCAATCTCTAAAACATACCAATGAAGTTCACTAGTCCAAACTAAGATCTACTCATCCACCCATGCCACAATGAGCAATGAGGCATTAATAACTTGCTTACCCATAAAAAAGTTACCCTCTTTCCCAAGACCACAGATGTGTAATGCTGCACTACACAGTGCAAGTGTTACTGCAATATACATCCTCATCTCAAAGGAGGAACTTACATGTGTACTCAGTGACCCCTTTGTGGCTGCTGAAGAGGTGGTTTTGGGGGTGCAGAGAGAAATTTTTCCTTTCTAGGCATTACTATACAAAACTATTAGAGGAGGAGGGTGAAGCCCAGTTAATTTAAAAAAAAAAAAAAAAAAAAAAAAAGGTGGAGAGATAGCCAAGAGTTGAGCTCACATTAGAGGGAAGCAGAAGGCAGGAGTAGATATTAGGAACCAGGAGCAGGAAACAGAAGCTGGAAGAGAAATAGGAAGAACCTTACATGAAATCAGCAGCATATGAGCTGTTCTCTAAACACTACAGCAACAACTGTTCATGAAGGTAGAGATCAAATCTGGGTTTTAGCAATATGAACAGATTGCTCTTATTTCAAAAGAATCTGCAGAGCACCATAAACTTAAAGGATAAGCAGTTTACATATGAACATGCACTTGAATACCCTCCAAGTTACACGATCCTAAAGGCATTTTTTGCCAGCTAAAATTTTGCCTTTCCGAAGAGATGCTCACAACACTATGATATTCACATATCCATTACAGTGCCCCTTTAATTCTTGCTACCATCTTAAATATAGGTTGCACCTCTGGTCTGGCAATATCAACTAGGGGTGTAAGTGACTAGTCAACTACCTTATAAGGTAGTTGAGTCACTACTTGACTAGGTGCTTCCCCCCACTTGCTGCCTCTGCATCACAGGCAGCAAGGGGGCTGGGAGAACAGGAGCCGGTGCTGGGGGAAACCAGCTTAAAAGCTACAGCAGTGCTCCCCGGTACCGTCTCCACAGGGGAGGGAGAGGCACAGTGGGGGAAGCAGTCGGATCCTGACTTCTGTGCCTCTGCCTTTTAAATTTAGTAATAACCTGTGCCCCTGCCTGGTGGGAGTAGGGACTGCCCCAGGTTCCCCTCTATACCTCTGCCTTTCAAATGTAGGGGCTCTAACTACATTTTTTTAAAAGGCAGGGGCGCAGCAGTTGCAGAGGCACAGCACCTTGCTGCAGGAGGTGAGGGGTCAGGAAGCTAAGTGCACAACCCAGCCGGGAAGCCAGGGAGGAAGGACGGAGTGACTGGGAAAGGGGTGGGGCTTGCAGGGGGTCGGGAGGGACGCAGAAGTCATCTCCGATGGTCCAGCAAAATCCCCCATCTGGGACCACTCAGGTCCCTAGGGTGCCAGACAAGGAAAGTCCAACCTGTTAGAAGACCTACCCCTCTTTTACAGATGAAACCTGCAGAGTGATGAAGCAATGTGCCCAAGACCAACATAGAAAGTCTGTAGCAGAGCAGGGATGAGACTGTCACACAGTGTGCATGTTACTGAGATATTACTAAAAGTGCCCATCATTGTATTATCTCTGTGCCTTGAAGCAAGAAATAAATCCCTACCCAAAAAGTTTGCCATTGCATCCTCAGCTACAGTCATTGTGATGGGGGTGGTGCTTGCTTGTTCACGTGCCTGAAAGTAATGAGCAGGTCTGCAGCCATCACTACCGAAGGCAGGCTTAAGTAAAGAGTGGCAGCATAGTGCACTCTACAGGGGGAAGAAACTTCTCCAGTGGAAGGGATTCTCACAGTGGTCTCAAATGGCAATGGTCTCAAATTCCAGGGGGGGGAGGTCTAGGTTGGGTATTAGGAAAAAATATTTTCCTAGGAGGGTGGGGAAGCACTGGAACAGGTTACCTAGGGAGGTGGTGGCATCTCCATCCTGGGAGGTTTTTAAGTCCTGGCTTGAAAAAGCCCTGGCTGGGTTGATTTAGTTAGGATTGGACTCGATGACCTCCTGAGGTCTCAACACTATGATTCTATGACATGTAAGGGCTTGTCTCCTAGGAGTTATATCCGGAGCTTCTTCAGCTATGAATACCTTCTGATTGCAGCTGCTAAGATGGTTGATGGGAAGACGGTAGATAGCCATGCCCCAATGTGGGCTTTAAAGATTAGCGTAAGGACCTGAAAAAAACTCTAGGAACTCTGACTTAAGGCTGGAGCTTGTCAATTGAAGACCTACGTCCAGACTTCTGTACTCAAACGTCTCCTCTTATCCCAGAAGCAAGTTAGGATTTCTATGCTGTCTGTGGAACACTGCCCTTTCAATACAGCAGCTCCATCTTTAGAGAATTAAAATTGCGTGGAGATACTTTTCCATTCTGAATTCTCCAAACCTATCCAGCAGGAGTTTGAGATGCTAAGAGAGAGACTTCACTGTAGAGCAAAGTGTAAGTTTAAGAGCTCTTTGCTGAAGAAAATTTGGATATGGAGGAATTAGTTGCACTCCCTGGGGAGCTTATGCTAACAGATTCATAGGCTGGATTGATTCTATGTCAGATTTGCTTAAGTAGTAACGTTTGCTAATGCTTAGGAAATAAATTACTGTACCTTCACTGCTTTTGGTGGCAAGGTGTCAGTCTGGCTCGTTGGTTTGGAATCAGTGTTCTGCTGCTTTGTGTAGACACGCCTCTTGGTTTCACACTCACTCTCTGAGTTTAGTTCAACTGGGGAAGGGAGAAGTTAAATTAATTAAAAAAAAAAGAAAACACAAGGAACTCCTAGGAAGTTCTCCCTTGCAAGCCCATATTGCAAGTATGACAGAAAAAGGCTTAAAGTTCTGTTGCTAAATGTGAATGATTAAAGCATTAGTGCTAGCACAAGCAAATGCATTTACTCTTATCTTGTTCACGACTGAAATTATCAAACTGAGTGAGTGGCTATGTGGAAGGAATATACTGGTCAGTGCATACTGAGAAGCTAGCATCTAATTCCTGGGAAATATGGTTCCAGTTTAATAAAGTGGCTAAGCACACGCTTAATAAGCTTGAAGTGAATGGGTTATAAACATGTGCTTAAGTACCTTTAGAAAGTATTTAGCCTCTTAGCTAATACTAATATATTTATTGACTCATCTGTTGGCTACAATACTTGCTATATTTGGCCCTGAGCACTAAGTCCAAATGGCAGGGGAACAGCACTGCCAGGGTTAAATGAAAAGCCTTTAAAAAGCAAGTATTAATGCTGTCTCAGTACTACAGTTATAAATCTGATAAAAATTCCCAGGCCTTGAGCTGGGCTGAGGTTTTAGCACAAGATTTTTATTGGAAAAATCCCAAGAATATGAAGGGATTGCAAAAGTTGAAGAATTAAGACTGTTTTAAAGATGACTGTATTCAAAAGCAACATTTAAAAAACAAAGAGAACCACAATTTTGTGAGTAAGATAGTTCCTTGTGAGCCAACATATGACAGCTTTCATAATCAGCAAATTCCACAGCTAATTTCTAAGCCAGTGGAAATGGAAGTTTATAAAACAAGAGCTGACCATTACAGGGACCTGAACAAATGCCATTTGAACCCAACACCTGGCTTATTGTCCTACAAAATTAAAAGAAAGCACCTAGATAGTGTGAGTGGGCTTCCATTATGGTTGTTAGGATCTGAGTTCGTATGCTCAGATGGTTTCATAAAGCTAAAGTTAAATGAAATCCAATCTTGACCAGAAGATCTCTGGGATTAAATGGGAAGCTTGACATTTACTCAAGCAGCTACAGTTCTAATGCCAAACTGATCTTGACATAAGAATGGCATACAGGTAGACTGTGCCCACCCATCCTGCCATCCACCTGCCAACTTTGTATTGGATTAGGAGAAGCAGTCCTTACCGGTGCCATCTTCAGAAAGACGAGAGTGGAAACCCAGACTCTTCTCACCCAAGAAAACCTACAAAAGAAATGTTTACCACTTAAATTTATAAAGGGATAATCCCAGTGTAAGTAACAAAATAGTGGGCAATTAACCATATAAAGCAGCATTCAAAAAAAAAAAAAAGGCCACACGTGTCAGCCGACGGTCAGGGCAGTGTGTGCGTGTGTGTGTGTGTGTGTGTGTGTGTGTGTGTGTGTGTTTCCGAGAAAAGGTTTAACATCCGTGTCTTTACTGCTAGGACCGAGGTCCCATCGCAGAGGGTGGCCAGCAGGCCAACAGACGCCCCGTAATATAGGAAGAGCTTATTACACCTTAGATTTTAGCTGCTAGAACACAAAGTTCCTTCGCAGCGGGCAGCCTAGGAAAGGCTGAAAAGGTGCCCCAACGGATCTTGTCACCTGGGAGTGACACAGATCCAAACGCCCAAGCTCTCCCTATGTCTGTCCCTTTATGACCGGCTGAAGTTCTTTTAAATTGTGCTTGGTTCT